AACTTGTGGTCATTTGAAATGAGAGGTCCAGTCATTTTGAAAAGTGATTTTGTTTGTGAGTTTAACCTCATAAAAATGGTTTTGACAACACAAAAGTGGTTTTAATTGAAAAATAGCAAGACAAAATTGAGAGCATATTGAGAAATGGCAGATTAAAATACCATCATAATGAGAGATATGATGCTGTAACTGGGCCATCAGTCAAGGTCTGGGATGACCAATTTCTATCATGTATATGTGTGCACTTTGAGAGCTGGGTTAAAAGGGCTGGATGAACAGGAGTCTTGTTGACTGGTGAGTTTATCTGTCAACTGGTGGTCTTCAAACCAACCTGGTTACTCTTTAAGGTGGCTCTCCAACAGGATTCTCATCAACATCATGCTGTGGATTTTCTTCCTGCCAATGGTGAGGGAGAATCCCACTGGAGAGCTAAACTCCAGCTCTCAAAGTGGTGACAACCAAAAATATAAAACCAGACACTACATGATGAATATGCATGTTTTTTTCAGAGACCAGCACACAGAAACCATAAAAGGAAAAATCATGGCTGCTGGGATTTAACCAGACAAAAAAGTCAAACTTGACTTTGTATTCTTTATGCAACCAATTCAAAGGGGCCTTTTGTTACATCTCAGTGTGGAGAGTGCTCTTCATCTCTTACTTCTTGGCCTCCTGAGGAGGTGGCTGCTCATTGTGAGGGTGGCCTGGAGCTGCTCTCATTCAGTTGATATCAAATTGTTGCAGCATTCATCTACACATGTGATCTGTGGGGCAAGGAGGAGATAATTATGCTATGACTCTGCATATGTACATGATCCAGAAAATCTGATCCTATGAACAACTTCAAAATGCACCTTGCCTTTGCTTTCATACCCTCCATCAATTCCATAATCAGTGGCCCACATGCTACTCTCACATCCAGGTCATGGTCAACCTCACATCATTTTGGCTGAATTGGAGCACTATTCCTGAAGATAAAATTGCCCTCCCTTCTGCTGCAGGTCTATTGTGAACCATCTAAGAGTCATTGGAGGGTGTTATGACAGCAGCATTTGCTGCTGCTTACACCAAAATGGCCATGCTTAACAACAGCTGCAGTGTCTTTGTCACTGTCCCACATCACATACAACACCACATTGTGTAAGACATACATCTTGGCTGATTCAACAAATTCAGCAAGAAATGCATTTATTTTAGTGTTTCAATGTAAACACAAAACTCTCTGAAAGCAGGCCTCAACAAAGGGCAGGCCGCAAAAGCCTACATGGCGAACCGGTTGTATGCTGCGTTCATCTGCTCCAAGGCGATGAATGTCAGCACCGTGTGAGGACCCAGCCGCAAGAAGTATGGCGTGAAACCTGTTGGTACCACAATGATGGAGAATGTTATCAGCACAGTGCAGCAGAAAAGGGCCAAATTGTGAGGTGGGGGGAAAGCTAACACACCCTTCCACAGGGCGGTGACGCCCTCGGTCTTGACGATCTTGGACAAGACGTCCATCACGCCTGAGTATTCGGGCACACCGTTGATGGTCTTCATGGTCTGGATGCGCGTCTTGGTGATATCAACAGGTATCGACACCGCCGTAGCCAAGAAACCCGACGCCAAACTGGAGTTTGGTGCAGCACGACACGACACGCATACGACACAAGCAGAGTGAGCGGGGAGGATGACATGGTGGCATGGTGGTTGGTGATGTCGCAGTCGTGCCTGGCGAGGAAGTGGGTGTAGACGTTGTCCTGGAGGGGCAGATTCTTCATGAGCACCTGCTTGGCCTGCGTGTACGTGCCCAGCTGGGCCCGCGTTGGAG